GTATTGGAAATCATTAATATTAAATTTCAAGTAATTCTGGTCATAAATATATTTTTGGGTTGTAGTAGGTATAACCTGTTTTCCCATGGGAATGAGATAATCTCCCGTGACAAAAAGTAGCCTATGTCACTCCACTCCCTGGCCCTTCAATTATCTTCACACAAAAAATCACGCCATTCCGTCACTCAGTTTCGACGTGAAAGAAGGACAAACAAACAAACACACTTTCACATTTATAATATTAGAATGGATTATATACACAAAAAAGTAACGAATACTTATAAATATGAATTTCTAAGAGAATAAACAACAATAGAGTGGCAATAATGGCTATTGGCCCTGACACCTTTTTAAAGCAATACATACAGGTGGCATATCAGCCATAAAACTCCCTCGATTTTGATAACCGCTACAGTTAACAGTTCATTCATACGAGGTTAAAAATACAAACGTGTACCAATTTTCATAGATAGCTTGTCTGTCTTTTTTCTAATTTAATTGGAATAAAATTGATGATTGAGAATAAAAAAATGTAAATACAGTTCTTTACATGTGATTTAGTAAGTAAGTATGGTTAAAGTACAAGCCCAATGGGTTCCCACTGTAAATATAAAAGAAAATTCGAAGAATCTCATTAAAGAATGCACTATCAGATTACTAAGCATACGGTGCGTAGTAGGTACGGCGGAGAGCAGCCTGGGCAGTGGGCTGTGGGCCAGTGCCGGGGCGCGCACGTGCCCGCCGCCCGCCGCCCCCACACGGAAGTGCATAGCGCGCCGCACTGATTACTGACACAGTGCATCTCCCACAAGGCGCGTGTGTAACCGTGAAGGCCGTACACTTTACTTAGCCATTTAAACACGCCATATTCATATCGAGATAAGGTTCATTTTACTTACAAAAATAACATCGTTACCTTGCTCTAGGATGTGTACTTTCTATAGGCTCTTTCAATATACCCTATAATAAGAGATGTAAGGCTTAATTTATATCGTACGATAGGCTACAACGTACTGCGGTTAGAGTACTAATGCACGTCATCGATATATGTGGATTTAAACAGTGTTTATTTACATCTAATGTAAATAATAATAAACAGTTGTGTACGACGGGATGGCAATAATTCATAATGCAGTACAAATAGCAGAATCTTTGTTTAGTTAAGAGAGACAAGAGGTCACTGGACATTTTAATCCACTAAACGTAGTAGATATATATTAATAGATACATAGATAGTAATAGGTAGATAAATAACAAGCCGCTGAAAAGTAAATAAGATAAAATTGGAGTCAAACCGTATGATTAATGTTTCAATACAATGAACTTTAACTTGGAGCATTACGAGTAGATAGACACACATGGCAGGGAATTGTTTAATGGCTATTAATTATTATTTAATATTTTGTATTACGCACGTAATCCCCACAGATCAATTTTGTGTTTAACGAGCTGTTGTGAAAGTATTACATGAAGGTTGTTAAAATACATAGGTACATATTATATACATATTGAACACGTTTTATATTTAATTATTTTAATAACACAGAGACAAATAAAGTGAGCAAATATTACATTCTGCAAAAAAAATAAGAACATATGTTAATTATTTAAAAATGTATTACGTAAATAGTTACACGTTATTATTTAATCTAATAGATGAGTCTTACATATACATACATATATGAATAGGTACACAACATGAGGAAAATAACATCTAGGTTACTCGAAGTAAAGTAATAGCAGGTACATTGTATTCACATTGCACGTACAGGAGTGTGTCTACCTTTATCACATACTCGTGTGTGCTCGTTTCGATCGCTCGAGGGAAATCCCTAGAACTTAAGTCATAAATTACAATACTAGCATACATTTCTTAAAAGGAAAAATCTTTTACTTTAAGTTCATAATTTTACTTGAAATTATCTTTAGCTGTTACCATTACCAATAAATGGTAATCCAAATAATGTTCTATTCAAACCATACGTATACTACAATGGCGTGCAAAAACATCGGGCCACCCTTAATTTTAAGCATAATTTTTTGTTGACAATTGTTTGGTGAAAAAAATACCGCAAAGGTAATTAAGGAGATTAGACGTCTTTGTTTCCTTCAAAAAAGTCATAAAATTCCTGGAAATGCACGTGTGCGCTTAATTATAGTCAATTAGCAGTAATTAGTGAATATTTGCATAATGTGGATTGAAGCCACAAATACTGTTTTTTGTTATTTTAGAAGCTTAGTTGAGTTCCAATTATTGAACAAGACATGGATCTGACCGAGGCTGAATCATCTCGAATTGTGACTTTGCTTGAAACTGGACAAAGTCAACGTCAAGTGGCTCAAGCTTTTTCTGTGAGCCGTTCTACGGTCCAGAGAGTGTACAAACGTTACATAGAGACTCGTGGCTTTGTACGACGACATGGTTCCGGCCGACGAAGAGCCACATCAGAGCGTGATGATCGATTTATTGTGTCATCAGCTCTAAGAAATCGTCATCGCACAGGGGTTGACGTTCGAAATCTCCTGAGAGAAGTGAGAGGTGTTAATGTTAGCGAGTGGACAGTAAGGTGCCGACTTAGAGCCGCTTCCCTGACGCCACGCAAGTCCGCAACTGGCCCCAAACTCACCCCTGCACATCGAATTGCAAGATTACTTTTTGCCCGAGATCACGTGAATTGCAATTTGGAGCAGTGGAAGAAGGTTCTTATTACTGACGAAAGCAGAATGTGTTTGCATAGTGCCGACGGCCGTAACTTTGTTTACCGGCGACCAGGTGAAAAATATGCACCATGCACTATGCGGGAAACAGTGTCATATGGAGGGGGCTCAGTTATGTTTTGGGCAGGATTCTGTTACGAAGCGAAAACCGAGCTTATATTCATAGAAAATGGATCCCTTACAGCCGCTAGGTATATAACAGAGGTTTTAGAAGATCATGTGATGCCTTTTACTGAGTTCATTGGATAAGATTTTCTGCTTCTACAAGATAATGCTCACCCACACACTGCTACATCAGTAAGGCAGTATCTTCAAGAGGTCGGAGTGTCTACTATTGCCTGGTCAGCGCGAAGCCCTGACCTCAATCCGATAGAGCATGTATGGGACCATCTCAAAAGAAAAGTTAGAAGTCGCGTAGTAGTCCCGAGCAACATTCAAGAATTAAAAAGATATTGGAAGCTTATTGGAAGAATGGGAGTCTATTACACAAGATTATCTAAAAAAGTGTGTCAAATCTCTGAAAAACCGATTAAAAGCTGTAATTAAAAATAGAGGCGGTAATACGCATTATTAAAAATCATAAAACCAATCGAAATCTTAATTTTCCCATTAATTTGCGGCTTACATTTTTATACCAAACTCGCGAAAAATCATTAAATTTGATTTTCCTCTATTTTCGAGCAATAATTTTTATTTAAATTATTCAACGATTATTGATTTAGGTACCCATATATAATAACAAAATTAATAAAAAAATATCATATTTTAAGTTTGTCCATTTTCTCTAGGTGGCCCGATTTTTTTGCACGCCAGTGTATATTATATGCACTTAATTATGACAGATACACTTTGTATTTATTCACAACTTGCACCTTTATAATGCATATTGTCACTTGTCCATTCCGTAGTAGCTACGGCTCGCAAGTTGCATAGGTACTTACAAAGTAATGGTTATATATAATACCTGGTTAATTTTGTAAGAACTTCTAGTTTTTATTGTTTTTCAACCTCGTATATGCCTCATACCCCTATTGTGCCATAAGAAAGGGATCGCGGAACCCCTCGTAGAGCCAATATAGTGTATATTTCATAGTTTCGTTTAAATAATCGTAATATTTGGCGAAAGAGGCCCGTATTTTTAATCATGAGGAATTAACATTCCTTACAAATTCTCGTTTGTAAATAATTGATCACGTACTTGTATTATCTATGTATTTACATACCTACTGTTATCTACGTCAAAATCATCACAAATTATAGACATTTCGGTAATGTAGGTATGTTCGTCGTGTTTTTGTGACGAAATATTTCTAGGGGCGTCACAGAAAATCTGACACAGTGTGACAATTGAGGGGGAGAGGGTCAAAAAAGCTGATTTTAGCGTGACGTATTTTATGAATTGCTCGCTATGGAAAATAAATAAGGGTATAGAATAGAGTTTGGATGGACTAAAAACGGGCTATTGGATGAGACTACCAGACGTCCGCCTGCTAATAGTCCCCAAAAAGCGGTATAGTGCCTTGGGCGCAACATCGTCGTGGTCGGCTTAGGGCGTTTGAGTGGTGTGCACCGGTTTCACCATCGCGGGAGTGATCGTGGGCGGGCCCGTTATTACCCAGATTAGCACTTCCACCCTTTCGAGCACTTGGCTCTTGCGCTCCACTCTGGACGACCAATGAAGGCAAACTCAGGTCTGTGGTTTCGCCACTCACCAACAGCTCGCCACAAGCTATTTACTATTTTGCACTGCAGGCCTATGATTATTATTATTATTGCATTTCGTATGCACTGACACTCTACTGCACTCTCCTCTATAATAAAGCATAATTTTTTTTAATAATTTAAAATGCAATAGAAATTGTACCATTTAATAACCTTTTTTAAATTCTTATCTAAATGTCCACAACCTAGTTGGTTCAGCTAGCCAGCTTCTCTGACATCTGCAAGGATCTAATCATGTAAAGTGAAGAAGCCAATCCTTGATTGCGATCGTCTATCGAGTGCAATATTTTTAGAGCGTTCTGTTTCCATACTGTGATGATATTTTTCTAACAGTATATTTTGCAACACCGTGTTTTCTAACTATGGTCACACATAGTTCGTACACAGTTTATGATACTTTATCATTAAACAATATTACGTTGTCCGCAAACACTCAACCTGTTATCAAGCGTCAAAGGAGATAGAAGTGAAATGAAGGCTCACTGTGAATGATTTTACTACATCATCTTCTTTGTCACCGCACTACAATAAAAGTATACCAAGTAAGGTGCGTGTTGCAGGCGATGGTGGCGTGCTACCCGGGCTCGGGCAGCCACTACGTGAAGCACGTGGACAACCCCAACAAGGACGGGCGCTGCATCACCGCCATATACTACTTGAATCTCAACTGGGACGTCAAAAGATGCGGCGGCTTGCTCAGGTACGTTGGAATAATATACTAATATTACATAAAGCTGAAGAGTTTGTTTGTTCGTCTGTATCCGCTAATCTGTGGAACTACCAGTCCGATTTGAAAAAAATATTTTTTATTTTATATATATATATATATATATATATATATATATATATATATATATATATATATATATATATATATATATATATCCTATTTATTAAGGAAGTATCATGCTACGCCCCTAAAGCGGAGCAATTTCACATAAATAAACTTCGCCGACAACTTTAGTAATATATAGTATGTTCATTGCACAAAAGGACAGCTCAAACAGCTACGTAGATTACGTTAGAAGCTGTTTGAGCTGTCCTTTTTTGTTCATATTTTTCATCTGTCAGTCTCTAAGAGCAGGGCCCATGTACACATCATAGGCTGCTCCGATGTGAAGAAGATACAATAATTATTATTGCTGTATATTTACAGGGTGTTCCCGGAAGGCACTAATCAAGTGGCAGACATAGCGCCTATTTTCGACAGAATGCTCTTCTTTTGGTCAGACAGAAGAAATCCACACGAAGTCCAGCCGGCGTACGAGACGCGGTGAGTGAACAAACTGAACGCAAGTCCATAGCATGTGAAGGAAAAGAAATTCTATACATATTTAGCTTATCAAAAACACGTTGACACAACATGTTTTGTAGTATAGAGATAACAAAATAACCCCAATTCTAAAATTACATAAAAGTATTCCAGTTGGGTTTTTTATGAAAACTCATTTATTGGTCGCTTGTTTTGTGTCGGTTTAAATTAAAAAATAAATAAACAATATAAGCCCCGCCCGTTCAGTAATCAAACTTGCCAAGTTTAGAGTTTGAGTTTAGTCCAGTCATTAATTTACTTCATAGGTATTACTTATTCGTTACTTATTATATTACTTATGGGATGTTAACATTAACAATTGCAGATACGCCATCACGCTGTGGTATTTCGACGCGCAGGAACGAGAAGAAGCGGTTAGAAAATTCAGTGAGTAGTTTTTAAAATTCTTATTTTATAACACACTAGCGACTCACCCTCGCTTCGCGGGTTCGTCCGTAGCTTGCTTCCCTATACAAAGTACTCTTTATAATATTAGTATAGATTTACATAAACACACACACACACGTAGGGTATATTATACGAGTATAAAAGTGACTTTAAATCAAGAGAGCCTTGAAAGTCGGAAAAATGAATTATTGTTTTAATATATTTTTACGGTTCCGTACCTCAAAAGGTAAAAAAGGAACCCTTATAAGATCACGCTCTTGTCCGTCTGTCCGTCTGTCTGTCTATGTGTCACCACTGATATTCTCAGGAACGAGTGAACCTAACAAGTTGAAATTTATAGTAGATACTAAGGTCTATAGGTATAGGTACTGAGTCAACACGATAAAAAGATAGGGGCAAATAAAGATTTTCGCGAAACTTATTTTTTTTTTTTTACTTTGTTGGTTTTGACTTGTAAGTACCAAAATTTACCTTAATTTTCAACTTTTTTATTTTTCAGAATTTCCCCATTACTTGTGCTGTAAACCTTGTTTTTAACCAAAATTCTAGGCCAACCGTAAGTACCCTATAGGTTTTGGGTCGAAAACTTATATGGTAGTCCCGTTGACCTAGAATCACGAAATTTGGTAAAAAGCAAGGTTTTACGGCACAAATTAACTGTAAGACTTTAAGGAAAAGTTACAAATAATAAAAAAAAGTTGTAAATTAAAGTTCAATAGATTTCCTACAAAGTACGGAACCCTCAGTGGGCGAGTCCGACTTGTACTTGTCCGTATTTTTTTTGTTAATTAATAATTAATTAATAACTACAATATGTAGCAAACAGAATGCCCTAATTATTTTAGTTTATATTAATACTGTATGGGACTAATGAAGACAAATAAAACAAGTCCAATCTCGGAAGGTTTTATTCATTGAAGAGTTTCAGTTCTATCTCTAGGTTCACATCATCAGATTACCTCAATGGTATCAAATCTGTGGTGGCAAATTTCATCCAGGTCCAGGTCTGTCCTAGTAATAAATTTCATCCAAATCAGTCCAGCTAATTTATTGTGAAAGAGTAAAAAACAAATAAACACACATACACACACTTTCATTTAAAATAGTAATATAATAACTGAAGCCAACCCTCCCGCCACAGAGCGCGGCCAGCCGTCGTCCAGCAAGTGACGCGGCGGGCGGACGCCGGCCCGAGCGCGTGCGCGTGCCGCGTGTCACTACACGTTGAATATACTATACATAATAATATATTTACATTTACTTTTACTTTGTATACAATAGTTATCTATTTATTTTCTTTCAAAGCAAGTATTTTTATTTGTTTCTCTTTCCCTTCGTTGATTTTATTCGGTGTCATACGAGCATATTATGTATGAACAATGTCAAGTTGGAAACTGACGACGGTTTTAAAACTGAATGTGACTACAGTCAATATTAATAAATTGTAGTGAATAACATATATTTTGACGATTTCTGATTCTGGATTATAAATAATAATAATAAGTGAACGGGGGCGTCGAGAGTCATAGAGTAAGAATATACATACTTTTATATTAAAACTTTTCTGTGCTATTTTTAAGTATTATGTTTATTATTTCACACTATGATTCTAAGTTGAGTCACTTCACTGATGTTTATTTCTCATCGTCATTGTTATCTGTTTAATTATTATAATAAGTCTATTTTCTGTGAAAGTTATTTGTTGATACAATATTTGTAACGATCCTCTCCCCGATCCCCGCTCCCGTCTCCCCGATCCCTGCTTCCCCGCATCACATCAGTGGGTGGCTTAAAACTTAAGACTGAAGCTTTCAATTCAAATCTAGACAAGATTGTCGCTGTATAGATATATTTATTGTTATATTTAATTTTTTCATTGTAAATAACAGAAGTAAACTTACTCAATATTTACCTACCACTAAGGCTCAAAGCCAGTATTCGCCTACATTAGATATTAGTCGAATTATACTTGTTGTAATTATGAGGGACCGCGAGTACACTTTACTATGTGAAGGAAATCGCGATGTGGCTCTTGTATGTTTGTAGGATATTATATTATGCGAGTGATTTTGTCATTTTGAATGCGAAATTAAATTATTTTTCAATGAAATGTCACAAATGGGACACAGCTCACTGATCGTTACACAACATAAGAATTTTGAGTCCCATACGTCCACATAAATAGACTGCCAGTTTAGTTTGTGCCGACGCGACGCAATGTTGATGTGAAATATGACTGACTAAAATAATCATACAGATAATATACAAGAGTGGTTGAAACGCTATCAATACAAATAAATATAAAAGAAAAAGAAATGCGTTAGTCCTATTATCACATATGTAATGAACTCAGTTGACGCTAATATTTGAGTGCATGTTATTCATGTATGTTATCTGTATGACATCAATGACGGTCAATGATCGCCTTGTATTTACAGAAAGTAATTATTTAAGAGAACTTAGTGTCTCGTACACACACCAGGCGGGCAGATACGATACAACATTGTACATTACATTTTAAATGATGAGGAACGTGCCGAGTGTGGACGACGGACGTATAGTATTGAATTTTCTACATGGTAGATAGGTCTGCTAAAATTATCATATTCCTAATTTAGTTAATCTGTAAGTTAGCTTTGTCTAAAAGCGTTTTTATTTTGTGATTTTATAGCTTGTTATGAACATTGTGAAATTTAGTGTTGTCCCAAAACTTTTATGTGTTAGCTCATAAGACGAATTAACGTTGTTCAAGTCATAAATTAAGTTGTGGACAAATCTGGTATTAAATTTTACTTTTTATGTTTGTTTTTTATTTACATTTTGTTTATTGAATAAATGCTATATTATTAAAATACAACTTAATGTGCAAGATATTAGACACAGTACCTACCGCCAAACTTTAACATTTTTAAACACCTAAATATAAAAATAATAATAATGTCCTTCTGACCGATTCCGGCCACGACGGCCAATCTCTTTTAGACTAGCCAACTGCGCAGGAGATATTATAGACACATCGTACACTCTCTATTCCTGTCACTCTCATACTCCGGGGGACGACACGAGACACTCGCGGTGAGAGTCGGCGCAGGACCGACGCGACACGTGAGAGCCGAGGCACGGGGGTGAACCAACTTCGCCAACTTCCCAACTCCGCGCTGTTCTGAGGCTTACTAAACAGAAAGACTCGATAACTAAATTTGGCCCAACCCGGGACTCGAATCCTGAACCTCCGGGTGTGCAGCCGTACATGCTAGCCACTACACCATCGATGCAGTTATGTATGTGACAAACATACAAAATAACACAAGTACAACAGAAAAGAGAAAAGTAGAACAAGGTCCAAGTCCACTTTGAATTACATCCATATCAAAGTGCGCTTTGATTGCTCGTTTACATGATCAAAGTTGCGTGATTCGTCAAAATAATCATCAAAGCTACTTTGTCGAAGTAGACTTCGATCGTGTCAACGCGGCTTTAAGCTCTGAGGCCCAAATGATGAAAGGCCATAAAAATAATAAAAAAACAAATAATGACAGTACCTTTTTGAAAACGTCACTTATGTACCTACTTGTAAATTTGTAGACCGATTTAGTGTTTTTAAATATTTTTATTTTAGCTACAAAATATTTTTTTATTAAAATGAGTTCTAGCCGAAGTAGAATAATAAGCGGCGTGGACGCGTTGTGTGGCCGCTCCAGCGACGTCGGCCGCTCCTCCGCGCAATGCACAGAGCGTGTAGTAATAAACTCTCATTTAATTATTTAAACAGTAATAAAAAACTCACATCAATATAGGTGGCACTAAATGACTTCAAAATGACTGTCTGTGACGACCTGATGTCTGATGTTTTTAACTGAAGGGGTTCACCGATTCCTAAAAGCTTTTTAGGTAATGATGGCACCGAGACACTCTTTATATCTGATACAATAAAAAATAATAACACAAAATGGTTTTTTTGAAGATATTGCAAACATATACTCAAAATGTACTTTCCACCGGAGTAAGTCGCTTCTTGTTTTTTTTTAAACTGGACCAAAATAAACGTAGATACTTATTGATGGTGATATTCTCGATTACGGTATTCATAAATATTCCTATGTACTTGTAGGATCAAGATGATGACGCGCTCGAGGATCCCGCCAGGTATCTGCTCCTGTTTACAATTGTCAGTGTCTTATATTAAGTATATGTTTGCAAATGTTTATTGCATTGTCTGTATAGATTGCCGTACTTCCCAGCGTGCTCGTTCGCCACGATACTAGAAGACATTGTGACGCAGCTCCACATTCTTGGTATTCACATAATTATTACCTAGATATGATAACAGACGCATGTTAATATTCATATTTCTTAACTTAAAGTACAACCAAAATTTATATGCAGTAGATTAAAGCTTGTAGAAGTCTGAAATTAATGTATTTCTGATTTTTTTTGATATTTTTAGTTCCACTTTCAATATGGTAATTAAAAATCCGAGCCGAGAAAAAGAGCCGTGACTACGTGTGGCATAAGGCATAACAAACATACTCACTCGAAAACTTCAAGTAATAATGTGATTAGCACCAATTTAATTAGGTTTTATAATATTTCAGACGAGTGTAACTCGGAGACTCGCATTAGTAAGGTAAAGTCCGACATGACTGCGTTACTTACGCGCAAGTACGGAGTAGCAGAGAAAGCAGTAAAAGACGAACTAGATGACATAAATCTTAATAACTTGCATTGTGTGGAATACAAACTTGACAAACTACAGTGGGACAGGTAAAATATGGAACTTTTAAAAAATAATATAGGTACGAATTAGGTATGTGACAATGTTTTATCTGATCAAAATTAATATTATCTCAATATCTAAGTATGTGCTACGTATTATTTATAACATTCTAAGCTTCACACAGTGTAACATAATTTTGGTAATGACTACTGTACAATTCCATGCTTATTATAACTTTGCAACCAGGCGTGTCAACTTGTTAATACTCAACATCCACCAAACTGGTGGTAGGTGTGCGTAACAATAGTAACAATCGCAGTTTGCGCATTTCAGGTAATGGAACCTGTCTTTTTCTATTTCCCTATTGCGAAACCGCGCCTTGGCTAACAAGGCTGGCGGTCGTTCCTTCTTACCGCTTATGCCATCCTCGTGTTATCATATAGAAGTATGTTATATTTCCAGAAAGTTGGTGCACCAAGTCCTAACAGAAACGTACTTAAATCTATCAAAAGAACGCAAGTTTCAGACTCTGGTAGAATACGTCGATAACATCGAGACTAAGTATGCGCACCTAAACCACCTCGCTGAGGAAGAATGGAAAAACAAAGTGTTAGATATTTAAAATATATTATAACCTATTATAAAGTTAGATGTACCCGGCCAGGCGTTCCTGTAGCTCAGTCTGGTGAATTACGCATATCTACCGTTCAAATCGTGAATTTATGGTCTGGAGTTCATACAAAAATAATCCCATAAGAAAATCTATTTTTCTTTTTTTCTACAAACTTATTCGACTATGATGGACTTAAAAAGCTGCAAAATGCGCTTTACACACGAGTACAACAACAAAACATTTACTTTTAATTTATTACACAGGTACAATTGATTTCTCTTTAGATACCTATTTGTATTCAGCCCATCTTCACCCCACTGCCGGACGCGGGCCTTCTTTCAATACGACCAGGCCTTAGTCCACCACGCAGGCCAAGTCTTTCGAAAACTTGTTAAGTTCTCCCAGACATGCAGGTTTCCTCATGATGTTTTCCTTCAATGTAAAACGAGTGGTAATCATGTTTGAAATTTAGATACACCTATTTTTATTATTGACTATAGCTGTCACGTTAGCATAAATTAATATAACGCTAAATATAAGAGGTTTGACGTCTTGGAACAACATAATGTCGCCGCAGACTTCGTCGCGAGCTGAATCGCCAACTCCGGCAACAGCGCATCCACGTCAAGTCCGTCACCTACGACACCAACACCGAGATTGAACGCCTAAAATCTAACTTAGAAGTGAGTATACTCAGTATAAGACGAACACAAATGATGATAATGATCTAGTTATATTTTTATTAAATGATAAAGAATATAATTGTAATTTTAATGCTTTTTTCGCACATCCCATTATATATTATTATTATTCTACATTATGTTTTATACGCCATGAATGACTAACATACTTATATTTTTAAGGACTCCGAATTAAACTCGCAAACCCGCGGCCGCTACGTGGGCGGCTGGCAGCGCGCGCGCACGGAGCAGCATTTACAAACAATATACGATAAAGAAATAGTTCCAATACACAACATTGAACATTTAAAAACTAAAATCGACCAAGAGCAGCGCGTGCACACGGAGATTGAAGTTTTAATTAATATTAAAATTAATGTCGGTTTTTTTCTTTAATAAGCGCATATTCGAATCGTACCTAACTCCAAAAAGATTTAGTAAACAGTTTTTTTTATTTCATTAGGAAGTACTTGAAAAAGTAGAAGAATGGATGAGTAAGTATGATAAAGATATGGAGAACATGGACCTGAAAATACAACTGAAAAGGAACGAGTATGAGCACACGTACGACAGACGCCTGGAGCTGGAGCAAACGGTAAACGTTACAAAATGTATCCCATCTATTACTAATATTGTAAAGAGGGAAAATTTGTGAGGTTGTAGGGGGTAATCTTGAGATCTACTGAACCGATTTAGATGAAATTTGGTAAGAAGGTAGCTTGAGACCCTGGGAAGGACTTAGGCATAGGATAATACCACCTTTTATGTCGGAAATCATCCCATAAGGAAGTGAAAATAAGGTTGAAAGTTTGTATGGGGAATCAACCTAGGTACTAACCCGAGCGAAGCGAGAGTGAGTCGCTAGTTCTATTATAAATGTGAAAGATGTTGTGTTGGATGTTTGTTACACGTGATACCTACTCATTTGTCTATCATGGGTTTCCTGAAATATTTATTCAGAACAAATACTGTCAGTAGCAAAGTAATATGCAAATCAGTCACATATAGTGTTCACAATTCCACCCAGTAAGAAGGGCTCTACATTTTAAATCTCTTTGGTTTTCTTTGCTAGCTCGAAAAGCACGCAGAGTTGATTAAAAACTGGGTGGCATTCAAAGAAGAGCGTGAAGCAATTCGACAGTATCGGGAGAAAATGACGACAGCGGCCGTGGCAGTGCAGGCGTGGTGGCGCGGCCTGCTAGTGCGCCTGCAGCTCGGCCCCTACAAGGTGGTCAAGCGGAAAGGAGCCGCAAACAAGGCGGACGAAAAGGCTGGAAAGAAGAAGAAATAACTTTTTTTAGATCTTTATATATATAATTCTTCTGTACGTGTGTTTGTTAACCTACTCCTCCTAAACGGCTGGACCGATTTAGTTGAAATTTTGTGTGTATATTTCAATGGGTTCCTGGATGGTTTAAAAATACAAATAGGCCCAGTCGATGTCTCACTAAATTTTCATAAAAAACTCAATTTTCCAAGCAATAACTAAATTTAAATTGTTCATTAAATAAAATAAAAAGCGATGTATGTATGTATGTGTCCTATGGACTCCAGAACAGCTGGAGCTATTTTGATGATGATTTTCAAGTAATCTTCAGATTAGCCCAGCGGGTGATCCTGTGAATTTTGTTAGCGATCGGAAGTTTGGACGCGGGCGAAGCCGTGGGTACTGCTAGTATTTATATAGATTTATAATGTATATGTACTATATCTACTGTTAATATTTATTTATTGTTAGAAATTTATATTTAACAATATACTCGTAAACTATTATAATCAATTTTTGTTTTATTTTATAATTGAACTCAACCTACCTCGCTTCGCTCGGGTTTGTCCCTAGGTACGTTTTAACGGTTAGTATGAAATACAAATCTTTGAGTTTCTGGGTTTTTCTGTACTATAATATGCATTTATTATATAAATATAAACCTTCCTCTTGAATCACTCTATCTATTGCTGAAAACTGCATTAAATTCAGTTGCGTAGTTTAAAAGAACTAAGCGAACAGACAGCGGAGGCGAATTCATTTTATACTATGTAAAGAATAGCGACTTACACTCCTTCGCTCGAGTACGTCCGTTTCGAGTAAGTAGATACGTTTTAATATAGATAAAAATAATTATTTTGAGTGTACCTTAAATTATATTATTAGGAGACTAGAGGCTCACCCTCGCTTCGCTCGGGTTCGCCTTTAGAAAAGCAGAAACAGATCTATCCCACGGGAACCGTTCATTTTTCCGGGATAAAAAAGTAAGACTACGTAAAGAAGTAGAGTTTTTAAGACCTACAATTTTCTAATAGGTACATTATTTTGGTGTATCTCCAAAGGTTTAGCCAGCGTTAGCAATGTAATCGTACGAAAACAGATTTTTGACAAACTAAATTAAGATGATAATATATATACCTACTATTAATATCATAAATGTGAAAGTATGTTTGTTTGTTTGTCCTTCTTTCACGTCGAAACAGAGTGACGGATAGATGTAATTTTTTGTATAGAGATAGGTAGTTGGAGGGCTGGAAAGTGGCATATGCTACTTTTTACCGCGGGAAATTATCTCATTCCCATTGGAAAACACGTTATAATACAATCCAAAAAAATATTTATGATCAGAATTGCTTGTATTAATGCTCTGCAATAAAATTAAATACATATGAGTTTTAACATTTTTCGAATTTAATCCTATAAGGGGATGAAAGTTTGTATGAAATTTTTAGATTATATATACACACAAAATATATATAAAGCTACTGTCAGTTTTTAAAACAAATCTCTTTTTGACAATTTTATTAAATGAATCGCCTATTAATATGTCACGTTTACAGTTTGTTAGAGAGGTAAAATAACAAATGCTTTGGTTTTTTCATATACTTGTTATATAAATTGTTTGTTTAAACTATCCTTGTGCTTCATGCTTATACAATCTTAGAACATTTACAGAAACATTAGCGACAAATTCACCGTTATGTTTTATTATCAATCTCTAGAAACAGTTTTATTTTATTACGAAAAAGTTGCATGAATTAAGTTATCTAACGGTAGTAGTTTGAAGCATTGACATGAATAGGTTTTATAACAAAATGATATTTCATCCTCTTAGTCCAATCGGAATCCGGTTACGGAACAAAATATTGAAAACCTGAAGTTTTATGATTTTAAAATGTTAGCAGGTCCATAAGGAATTGAAATTCGTAAAATGCCCCCTATGCCCATTTCCCAGCTACCCACGAGAAGTGGGAGACGCAAAGCGTTGAAAAATAGTTTTTTTCAATTTCCGGCTTACTGTGACGTTCTATCGAAAAATTTTTCCCACAAAAGTTGTAGGTCTAATAAAAATCTACAACTTTTGTAAGTAACACTTTTTACAATAACCTCAGAGTTTTCGAGATATTTTTTACATTTTTTTTTTAAATTAAACGAAAACATTTTTAAATGTAAACGTCCACTTGAAGTTGGGGTGATTTTCAGCCTCTCGAGATCATAAAACATACTTTTCTCGAAAATGGCTACACTTTTCAATTTAATTTATATTTTTTTATTATATGTATTTCGAAGATAACATTGTCTTAGTTTCATGGAAATCAAAAGATTATTCTAGAAATAAAAAATAAGAAAAAGTTAAAAACCGAGTTTTTTGCAAATATCTCGAAAATTTTGAGGTTATTGTAAAAAGTGTTATTTATAAAAGTTGTAGATTTTTACTAGACCTACAACTTTCGTAGGAAACATTTTTCGATAGAACGTCACAGTAAGCCGGAAATTTTCAACGCTTCGCGTCCCCCCATTTCTCGGGGGTAGCTGGGCAGAGCATTTTACGAATTTCAATTCCTTATATACCTGCTAATATTTTAATATCATAAAAGTTCAGGTTTTCAATATTTTTTTTCTTTTCAAAATAAACGGACTCCGATTGGTCTATCGATACTAATAACTTCAAAGCTAGTGATGTGAAAAATCACGCCAATCCGCCAAACCGTTTCGACGTGAAAGAAAGACAAACAAACAAACACTTTCACATTTATAATTCATACCTTTCAATGCGCACCCGAAAGAAAGACTTCCGCGGGCTCTGCAATTTTTTTTATAATTGCAAACATTTCGTCTTCCTATCAGTTTGTATGTTTATTATTCAAAACTTTGAAGAAATCGTTTGGAATATGAATCTGTCGCAACTCCCATGATTTTACTAAAAAATGACGGTGGGCAGCCACCAACAATTCTGGATAATGTTTATAATAGTCATATACTCTATCTATGCGATTAGCTTTTTACTCTAATTATTTATTTGTTTTTATTTTCGTCTTTGCTTATACAGCTTACCATATTTGCGAGCTTCGCTACTTGCTACAGTTTTAGAAGACATTTTAACGGAATTGCGTATACTTGGTAGGTAATAAAAAAAAGGTGTGTGTACTTATGTGTGCACGTAAGAAGTTAAACTTCTTTGTTTTTTTGAGCTATAATAAAGGCTTAGTTTTTGTTTTATTTTTTGAAGTTATATTTACTTCTTTTGGCACGTCCAGAAAAAATTATGAGAGTAAAATTTTTACGATGCGCGCGCGCGCACACGGACGACCAAAAATGCGACACTCAGCTACGACGATCAGCTAACTGAACTCTCTCAATCAGCTCAAAAAACTCAATCAGCAAACTGAGTTAATGCAGTTGAGGAGGATGAGGATGATATTCCACTCATTAAGGAGTCTGCTTACTACACCGTCCCATACCATGACCGTACTATGAACGTATCAGGCACGGATACAAGCGACACGGACTAATAGTAGTCCGTACGGCACGGTGTTGGTTGGTGACGGAAAGGTCTGGGTCGGTGATGGAACGGTCTAGTGGGCATAGTCTCATACTTTTCAATACAAAGAATATTTTTTGCCTGACATGGTCCTAGCACTGTCATGGTATGAGACGGTGTAGTGGGCAGACCCTTTAATATAAATAAATAGTGTCTATGTAGTTGGTTAAATTTATTCTCTTTTTATTTCCAAGTTTGTATTTGTCATAATAATGTTTTTTTTAATATTATATAAAAGATTACCTTGATTGTTAAAAGTGTATGTAAATTATGATAGGCAAGTAGTCAAATACCAATACCTACACAAGGATTGCTAAGTTTTTATCTGTTTGATAATTATCAAGATAATTATCGCGATAATTATCAAAAGATATATTTATCTTGATAATTTCATACCCTGGTTTGTAGTGACCCTACTTGCTATGTACAATTGCATCATATATAGTTCAGGATAAATTTCCAGAAAAATGCTATACCGCCCTGATACACCCCCTGTATCGTATCTGTACCACATAATCAGTTTAAGTAATTATAAATCATTTAGGAACTATAATAACCTTTACTTTTAGGATGCCACTTTTGATGCAAAAATTCGTAGTCGCTACGTAGAACAATGGCAAATATCTCGTTCTGAACAACACCTTCAGTCTATACATGATAAAGAAGCAACATCATCGGGTATCATCGAATATTACAAACAAAGAGCAGACAGTGAACAGAGAGTTCATTCTGAAGTGGAAGTTTTAATAATATTTCTATTAATGTATACGTATTTTTTTTTATCTATTTATATTTAGAGACTTTTATCCTTTTCGGACATGTCAGTCCCATCGTATCTTAACCTAAGTACAGCATCACATATATATTATGGAAAAAGGAAGATAGATTCAATGCTGCAAAACCATATCCACCAAAATTTAAACTACATCAAATATACGTTTATTATACAACGTTAAAGATTAAACATTCATCTTTGCCTATAAATTAAAAGTAAAATATCATGTGCTTTACAGGAAACTCTAGATAAAGTCGATAAATGGATGACTTAATATGATACAGATATGAAAGGAATAGATCTTAAAATACAATTTAAAAGAAATGAGTATCAAAATATTTATTATAAAAGAATAAATTTAGAGGATACGGTTATATAAATTAAATTTACTTTAAAAATGTTTAATATGATATTAAAATAATGTAATTTTTCGAATTATAGATAGAGAAACATGATACTTTATTGAAAGAGTGGATACTTTTTAAAGAAGAACGTGAAAAGTTACGTCAATATAGAGAAAAAATGACCAACTCTGCTATAACTGTTCAAGCTTGGTGGCGTGGAATACTAGTGCGACAACAACTTGGTCCTTATAAAGTAGCAAAAAAAGGCTACTAAGAAGACGTGATATTTCACTTCTTCATCATAAATATGTTATAATATTCTCGATACTAAAATAACAATGCCCTTAAAATTTAATAAACA